GGTTATAGAGAATTGTCCACAGCCAGCCCTACCATTAAGCAAAGTGAAGTGGCTGCCTCAGGCAGTAGATGCTGTGCTGAAGGACAGCCCTGTATGTGTCATGGGGCCTGTCCTAGGCTCCCTAAGCTAACCTGCTGCCCTCAGGTGGATGCTGACAGCGCTGTCCTCCTCCTATTTCAGTAATGTTCACCATTCCTACATGACGAATGCCAAACCACCACCCACCATGGAAGCAGTGTAGGGTAGGTGAGGGAACTTACTCAGTTTGGATGATGGGGGAGGGGAATCCTGAAGGAGCGTCTCCACCCCCATCGTTCAGCCCGGACACTGAGGTCCAGAGCCGAGGGCATTTTGGCGGTTCCCTCCCTGCAAGAAGTGAGGCTACAGGGAATCAGGCAGAGGGCCTTCTCAGTGGTGGCGCCCCCCTGTGGAACACCCTCCCATCAGATGTCAACTTTTAGAAGACATCTGAAGGCAGTCCTGTTTAAGGAAGTTTTTAATGCTTAATATTCGGTTGGAAGCCGCCCAGTTTAGTCGTGTCCGACTCTTCGTGACCCCATGGACCAGAGCACGCCAGGCACTTCTGTCTTCCACTGTCTCCCGCAGTTTGGTCAGACTCATGTTTGTAGCTTCTAGAACACTGTCCAACCATCTTGTCCTCTGTCGTCCCCTAACCCTAACCCTAACCCTAACCCTAACCCTTGTGCCCTCAATCTTTCCCAACATCAGGGTCTTTTCCAGGGAGTCTTCTCTTCTCATGAGGTGGCCAAAGTACTGGAGCCTCAGCTTCATGATCTGTCCTTCCAGTGAGCACTCAGGGCTGATTTCCTTAAGAATGGATGCGTTTGATCTTCTTGCAGTCCATGGGACTCTCAAGAGTCTCCTCCAGCACAATAATTCAAAAGCATCAATTCTTCGGTGATCAGCCTTCTTTATGGTCCAGCTCTCACTTCCATACATCACTACTGGACATGGGTGGGGTATAAATTTTATTATTATTATTATTATTATTATTATTATTATTATTATTATTATTATACCTGACCCTAATGTGATCTTAGAATGCAACTTGAGAATGAGTGGGCAGGCAGGGACAAAGTGGGCTGGCTTGGGGCAGGCATGGTATTTTGTAGTCTACAAAAGTGTAGAGCCAGTGTGGTGTAATGGTTAAGAGCAGTAGACTTGTGATCTGGGGAACCGGGTTCGATTCCCCGCTCCTCCACATGCAGCTGCTGGGTGACCTTGGGCTAGTCACACTTCTCTCAAGTCTCTCAGCCTCACTCACCTCACAGAGTGTTTGTTGTGGGGGATGAAGGGAAAGGAGAATGTTAGCCACTTTGAGACTCCTTCAGGTAGTGATAAAGTGGGATATCAAATCCAAACTCTTCAAATCCAAACTCTTCTACTTTGTAGTCTACAAGGCTCTGCCACCCCACTGGAGTATCATGTGTCATGTGCACACACACGCTGACATGCCTCACTTATGTCCAGGGCTGGATGCAGTGCTGCATCCTGCACAAACTGTACACTAGGGCCTATAGATTTCAGTAGATGGAGTTGCGTCCCACACAAGTTCCTGTGTATGAAGGGAACACTGCAGCGCTCAACAGAATCCATTTGTCCCCTTCCTTTCCCCAAGCACCTCTCTGGGTATCTCTCATGTTGACCTCTCTTGCTGAGATCTTAAATTATCCTTATCCTTCTGAAAGCTATACTTCTTAATGGTGATCGTTTGGATTTTTACAACTGATTGAAGCGAACAGAATACAGTTCTCAACAGCTATTAAGGGAAGTCCTTCTTTGCTTGGCAAATGCTTATTGAGTTGAGGAACAAAGCTGTGAGCCTATTATGTGAAACTGTAATGCGAGATCCATTGTTTGAAGGTTTACTGTTGTCCTTTCTCTTTTTTTCTTTCCTCCCCCCCCTTTTTTGCCTGAGCAGGATGTGAATATCTCTGGTGGATGGAGGTTAGCTAAGTAAGTCATGCATAGATGGAATTTATTAAGTTTGCACGGTAGTGACAGCTGTGAGTGGGAACAGTAACTCCAAGTGTGCCAAGGGCTTGAAGAGAAAGAATTTTCATATGTGTGTCTTAAAGGAAAACTGCAGCGTAATTACGAAAGCTGTCCTAACCACTGCATCCAATTACAGAGGGAATTCGCTAAATATGATTTTAAAATTGTAATAATTTGACAGAAGGCTGCCATTTTGAGTCTCAGGAGGCAGATTAGGACAGAGGAAAGTCAAGTTTCATTAAGAACCACTGGAAATCAGACAATTTAAGGTAAATTCATTTAATTAGAGATACATATAGCACTGTCTGTATAATCAAATAGCTGCTTTAAGAACTCTGTTAAAGGAACTAATGTGGCTTCTTTTGAATATGGAATTTCCCACGTAATACTTTGGAAATGTAGTCTTGTAGCAGAAATGTTCCCCCTCCTTAATACACTCTGCCTCTCACAATGACAGTGACTCTGACAGGAATATCATTTTAAAACATGTTTTCCTTTAGTAAAAGGATGGTTCTGTCCATGAGGTTTGATCCAACAAAACAGACAGATAAAGTTCATCTCCTACTTTAGGATGCTCTTAACTAGCCTACGAAGGCTTTCCCTCCAGCCTCTTGCTCTTTGCTGATGTAACTAAGAACATGTACAGGTAGGAGACAAAGTGCCTTATGCCAGCATGAATCCTCCTTTGACTTGTGTGTATTTATTAGAATGTGCGTAGAATGTTTGCAATGGGGGACAATAGCAATCTGAACTGAGAAGACCGCCAGGCAAAAGGCCACACACCACGATGAACGTGGATGCCTGCTGGAACAATGATGCATAGGAGCCAAAGTTGAGGTGGGCTGAGAGGGAGGGCAGGAATACAGGGGGTCTCTGTTTCTGTAGCAATGCAGCTACATCAGGCATAGGCAAACTTGGCCCTCCAGATGTTTTGGGGCTACAATTCCCATCATCCCTGAACACTGGTCCTGTTAGCTGGGGGTGATGTGAGTTGTAGTCTGAAAACATATGGATGGCCAAGTTTGCCTATGCCTGAGCTACATCCTCTCCTGTGGGGGGGGGTGGAGAGGAGGTGGGGTTTCTGTCAAGTATGTGGCCAAATCATCATCACCCAGCCAGTGGCAAAGAAGGACCAGCCCAAAGGTTCTGTAGCGATGCAGAGGAAGAGAAAATTGAAGGCAGAAGAGAGATAAGATAGAGGGGATAATGCGGGGGTCAGCAAACTTTTTCAGCAGAGGGCTGGTCCACTGTCCCTCAGACCTTGTGTGGGGCAGGACTATATTTTGAAAAAACAACAACAAGTGAATTCCTATGCCCCACAAATAACCCAGAGATGGGCACGTTCTGCTCATCTAAAACCATGCTGATTCCTGGACCAGATTTAGAAGGCAATTGGGCCAGATCCAGTCCCCAGGCCTTAGTTTGCCTACCCATGGGATAACAGATCCTGTAGACCCTTGCTTCTCACATCTGAGACCCAAGCTAAGTTGGCAGCAGTGGAGGACACCCATCAGTCCTTTCCTGCCATAATCATTCCTGATTATGAGTAGAGTGTCCTCTGCACCTATAGCTCTATAGGCTTTTGACACCCATTTGCATAGGTTGGTCAGGGAGTCTGCTGTTTCAGAGTCCTTCTTTTGCACACCTTCATTCAGCCATCTTGATGAAGCTGCCCCACTCTTGAAGGAGCAGGAAACAAAACTGCAACTCACTGTGAAGAGGAAAAGGGGTCAGTGGGCAGGGGGAGAAGGGCTAGTAATGAGGCACAGCAGAGTTATCTTAGATGGCTGAACCATGGGACTTTTATCAGAGCAGGAGTGATGACATCATCTGCCAGAGTATAATTGATGGACACTCCTTGTTCTGGCAAGCTGCTGAGGTGATAATGAGGCTTTCACGTTTGTTTGTGAGAACATAGAGGGAGTCATAGAAGAAGAAAAATAAGCAGAGGCTGGATACTTCTTTCCTTTTGTTCGATGGTGTTCTTACTTCATTCCAGCAGTTTAAATGATAACACTTCCTTGCAAGACTGTTTTTATTTCATCTGACTGAAAATCTTTTGTGTTTTCCAAGTTAAATCTATAGAACTGGAAGTAAGCACCACTGAGCTCAATGGAGCTTAACCCCCAGAATTTATGTATTGGATTGCATCCAGGCTAATACAAATACTTTTCTGTATACTGCTGCTCTTTGGTAGATAGGTATACACATGTGTAATAATGGGTCAGCATACCTGCCTTGGGGCGTGACTCTGGGGGACGAGTCCCACACTTCAAAGCTTACCACTACACCTTTAGTCTCTATGTGCTAAGGCAACTTCCTGTGTTGTAATTCTCTGCACCCTTGCCAGACTACAGTTCTCTGGATTCTTTTTGGAAGTGGCGAATGTTTGTGGTTTCGATATACCCATCCCTGCTGAACCCTCTTCCATGTGACCTCTTTTAAAACAGATGTGTATCAAAGAGCTGATGCATTGTACCTAGTCACTACAGTTGTTCACTTTGTGCACTTGAAGGTGTGAATGACAGGAAGGATATACCATTTATGAATGAAGTTCAGCCATACATCTTCTTTTCTTTTTGTCTGATAATTTTGGAATGGCATCCTGCTCTTCTCACTTAGTCTTGGCTTGTTTTAGAGCGCTCTTGGTAAAGAATTAAATTATTTCTGATTTTGCAGAGCTCTTTAGGTGGCATCTTTTAATTTTCACCTTTTCCGGGACTTTTGTTGCAACCCAAGATTTAACATGCAGCAGGTTAATTCCACGGTTTTTAATGAAGCACTTCATTCTCTCCCCTTTTTGGTTGTTAGACCACATGGGATACGTTCCCTTGATGTGTGGGGAGTTCTGATTAGATGAAAACATACCTCTGAGGAAGCTCACATTATCGCACATGAAACAACAGAAAGGGAAGGGGGAACGATGTGTAGAATCATGTAAAAATAATGGTTGTTAATCAAATTTTCCCTTAATCATTCTCCAGCATCGCTGTAGTAGCAAAGGTGGTCAGAAGGCATACCAGGATATCCAGGCTGACATGAGATGGAACAAATAACAAGAAAAGGAGCCTCCAAGGAAGCTTGCATTACCACACAGACATTATTTCATATACAGAATTTGAGTCTCCTTGGTTTCTTCCAATTCTGAGAAGGTGTGTGCCATTATACAACATTTCTGGAAGTTGCCAGTATGGATACAATCTCAGAAGTGTGTGTGTGATGAAGTTGATTATGAGCCTCTACTTCAGGGGTGGGAAACCTCAGATTCTACCCGGTCCTTGGGATTTTCCTTCCACCACTCCCCTTCCCAAGATACGCCCTTCATTACGTCTGCTTTCCACCCTTCTTGAATGGTTTTGCCTCGTAGGAATGTGTCCCTGAACTCTGATGATGCTTCCAGCTTGTGTGGGTGGAGCATAGAGTGAAGTGTGTGTAGAAATGAATCAGTGGTTCAGACATATATCCAATGCTCCAACTACTTTTGCCTCTGGTCTGGTCCAATGCAACATTGGCATGTTGTGGTCCTTGAAGGTTTCTTAGAAGAGATTGTGACTCTCAGCTTGAAGAACGTTCTCCACCCCATACTGTCACCTTCTCCTGCCTGTCATTAACAATGCTATGTCTCTATGTTAAGAGGAACTGTGGCAATAGTCTTGTTTAAAATTGACCCCATCCATTAACTCAGTGGGTAGCCTTGTGGGATGCAAGTGCCTTTCGACTTCATTCCCTCATCTATCCTACAGAGTCCACCATAATGACTTAATTTACAGGACTACTGTGAGAAATATTCCAAATAAGCATGAATTTTTTTTACTATTTGACGTTCGCATAGCACTTTCCCCTAATGCGCGTGAACTTTATGTAACTTTGCAAAAATCCTTACAATTGAAGTGCATGTGATTAGAGAACCTCCAAGTGTCTTTGTATCTCCAAAGTGATATATCATGACTTTCAGCTGTGCCTCTGCACTGCTTTTTAAAAATACCTACATGGGTCTTTATGTGCAGACAATGTCTTATGTCCAGACAGTATGGGAGTACCTTGGACTCCCTCATGTAGTTCAATACTTTCTCATTATTTTCCCAAGTTGAATTGCTACCTCTCCAAATAAGAATACTTTAGTAGATAGTGATAAGATTGTACCATATCATGCCTTCACAAAAGCAAATAATGTTAACTCCTGGTACCATGGGTGAGAATTAAAACTGAATTATTATTTTTTGCCATGTGAGATCCACGTTCCTTCTAGCTGTTGGAGGACTGTCAATACATACTCCATGGGAACCATCCCTTAGTGAGTCTACTGTTCATTGCAACAGGTCCAAGGGGCTCTTGATGCTGGGCTCTCTGTTGGGGTTTCGGCCTTTGGCAGATGACCAGCCCTGCTGACCCTTCACACGAGCCCTGTGTGAGAAGGATTACTTTTGAAAGTAGCTCTATGGATTGAGCTATGCACATTTCTCACTAATGCCATATACCAAGGGGGAGTGAGATGGAAACACCCCAAACCATACTTTCTCTGTGAGCAAAAGAACCAAGGCCACATTATCTTGCTCCAATTAAATGATGTTTTCCCACAGAATGTTAGCTTCAGGGTAGTCTTCTGAGGCACTTGACGTACTTCATCTTAATTTCTGGGTAATGTGGTGCTGACAATCATTTAAGACAATGTAGCTGATAGGCCAGTCTCCCCCAACCTCCAAAAAATGTTTTTTGCCTAGCATATCCTGGTGACACTTTTCTGAGATGGATGTCTTCCGCAGAATTTGATTAATGTAATGCAATAAAAGAGATGTGCACTAAGGTGTCTGAACATGTCTTGTTAAGTATCTTTGATTCATTATATGTAGTTCTTAGTTCCCTTCTCTTTCTTCAGTTCATTTTTTAACATTTCAATAATATATCTATAAATATGAAAAAGTTGGCACTTTCAAAGTCACTGACATATATGTCTACTAATTCATGGCTCTAAAAATTTGTATCTTTCAACTTGTCATTTTAAATGTTGTACGTTTTATTGCTGTAAGTAACCTGTGTTAGAAATTAAATGTTGAACTTTAGCGAGGAAATAAATAAAATGGTTGACAGAGTGGCTATACCACAAGGTACCTGAATGTAGTACTAAGATAAAATTGCTGACTGTCTCCCATCCTAAGATGACTGGATGATTTTTGAGTCATGTCATTTGGCAGTGCTCCATGTGAGTACAAATAAATGAGCAAGAAAGTTAAAGCTTCAGAAACTGTCAATCACAAGCCATCACCTAAGTGCAAGATCACTTGCACCTGGGCAGGTGTGCATGTGTGTTTGTGAACGGGTTCAGGGGCAAGTTGGAAAATTGTTCTGTCAGGTAAAGCTAAAGGCATGCAAGTAAACTGAGCAGACTGGATTTTGGAGAATCAAGACAGAGCGGGGCAAAGGTATTAGAAGCAGGAGCAAACAGATTCAATCAAGGTGCACCCCAAGAGATCTGAATACTGTATGGGCTCTTGACCAATCTCGAAACAGCCTCTTCCTGTTTTCTTTTACTGTGACTACTTGGAGGCTAGAGCCAAAGGGGGCAGCAAAGCCCAAGTGGTCTCACATAGGAATATGTCAATTTTGGTTTTGCTCCGTTTTCCATTTTCCCAGTCTTTTTTTTTTTTTTAACGCGCTCATGAAAATTCGTTTGAGTGCATATTTCTCCTAATTTTTGTACACACTTTTGCCCAATTACATTTTTTTTTGCGAGGAATTTCTCCATATATAATGCAGTTTTGTATATTGCCTTCAGCTGTATATGAATTTATACACGTAGACTTTGCACTAGTATATGCCTTTTTGTATACATTATCTGGCTGGAAACCCACATTACAAAATTCGGAGAAGTGCAGATTTCAAAGGACGACTCTGTTTCCGTGTGCATTGTCTTCCAGTAAGTGTAAATTCTGCAAGTTTGCCTTTAAATGTGAACCAAATCTAATTTAACCTCCAGCTGTAGTCTTAACAGAGCTTGCATTAAGATAGGAGGCAAGGACAACTGATGAACTATTCCTGATAGCAACTGTCCTCAGTGACGTCAGCAGATCCTCCACATCTGATAGGCTACATAGTGTTCCAAGGCATCACATTCACTGTATGAATCCTGATTTGCTGGAATGAATTTGTTGAAGAAAAAGACAGGGAATTGTGCTGGAGCAGGAGTGTGGGGCGGATAGAGAGAGAAGCTATGAACAACCTAGAAAAAGCAAGCGTTCTTAATAATTACATCCCCCCCCCCCGAAAAACAATCTGAAAGATCTACTTTTTTTCAACACCAAAACTGAATGGACAATAATTTGGTGCAGTCTTACTTAGCACAGAATAAAATATACCTCATGGCAGGAAAAAAGGCAGCTGGCTGGATCTATCCCAAAGGACAAGATAATGTCACATGCTGCAAATATTTTAAGTTTATTTTTCTTTAACATTGATTTCTTTAAAGGAGAATTGCCGCAATTCTTTCCTGATTCAAAAAAAGAGAGAAACAATTATTGCGTTTATATTAAGAGCTTAAGGAGGAAAGGTTTTCCATGTTAAGAGCAATTCTTTTTTTCTAAAAAAAATGTTTAGGGGTACTCTCATTTTGACTCAAGAAAACCACAATTTTATAGTTCATATTGGGAAAAATAAATACAGTAAATGGACAAAAGTACAAAAATTCACAAAATGTTTAGGGGTCTGTCCCCCCCCCCAGAAAAAAAGCACTGGTTAAGAGCAATATGACAACAGGACCTTAAGAATTTCTCAGCTGGCTGATTGTGAGTTTATATATAATTTCCACTTGGAATCCGCCTTGAGTGCTATATGGCAGAAAGTCGGTCTAGATGTTCTAAAATATACAAAATGAGTAAGTGTGTGCCTGCGTACTGTGGGTGGGCACACATGGCTTCATTGGTGGAAAGTTATTCAGGGTTCAGGTTTTGAAAAAGCTTTCAGAAACAGTTATCCTACTCGTTTACAGCCAGCTTAATGCGCCATGCCTTGACAGGCAACATGCCCTAGTGCAGCGCATGGAAAGGAACGAAAGCCTCAGAAGCATAAGGAAGACGCAACGCTGACCACATGAAAAACTAGGCGGTTTGAGGGCTTGACTGCAAGGTGCAGTGAGAGATGGAGTGGTGGGTTTAGATGGGTAGTGGGTTTGCTGGCAGGAGAGAAAACAGAAGTCATGGTCACTGATCCAGAAGCGATGGCAAACCACACAATGTAACTGCCAAAGATGTTTTCAAAACCATCCAGCGTCTGTGATGGTTTAGAAAGCCAGCACTTGAATATGTGTTGAGGACAGAAGTAGAAAATCAAAGCACTCAAGTGCATTTGGACAGAGTGAGGGAAGGGGCAGGATCCAGCCTGCGCCGTGTGGATTCTCTAAGAGGCTAATGCTTTGCTCTGTTTACAACAATGTACTGCATGGCATTTTTTTAAAAAAAATATTATTAATACCAGCAGCAGAAATCTGGGATCAAGTAATAATTAAGCATATGAGCTGTGAGTCAGAAAGTCCTTGCTTTATTTTGTTGATTTTTAAAAAAGTTCTCTCCCACCTATTTTTCTAAAGAGACTTAAGGCAGTTAACAGGCATAATCCTAAAAAAAGTCCCTAAACATATTCAAATTAGTAATATATGCAAAAAAGGGAGCCAAAGGCCTTTTAGAAAAGACCGCAGAGTGCAAATACATATTCGAGTGGTATTTTAATTTTGTATAGGAGGTTATTGCAAAGTGTTTGGCACCCAAGTCAACACTGACCATAGCCCTTTTACTGAGACAGCCACAGGGAATCTCTGGCCTGCCACACCTTTAAAAAAATCAAGCCTTCCCTGCTCCCCAGGAGAGCTGGATTTTGGAAATTGGCCTTTCCTCACCTGATGATCCTTTCTAATCAGATGATGGGATGGCCAGCTAGACACACACCATTTTAGTCCATATGTGGCTCTCCCTGTTCTCATTCAGTCTCCACAACAACCCTGGAGGGAGGTTAAGCCGAGACTCAGCGACTTGCCCAAGCTCACCCAGCGAGCTGCATGGCCGAATGGGGGATTTGAACCATGATCTCCAGCTCTTAATCGCTACACCACACTGGATCTCCTATGTTACTGCTTATAAGCAAAGAACAATAGATTATGAGAAACAAGGAGCTGTTGTTGTTTACATATCTATTAGCTGCATGTCATACTTGAACATTTAGCCCCAAAAGTTCCCCTAGGGCAGAGAGCGAAGCTGTGGCCCTCCAGATGTTGCTGAACTACAACTCCCAACAGCCCCAGCCAGCATGGCCCATGGTCAAGGGTGCTTGGAGCTGTAATTGGCCCTGGAGGGCCAAAGTGTGGTGTAGTGGTTAAGAGCGATAGACTCGTAATCTGGTGAACCGGGTTCGCGTCTCTGCTCCTCCACATGCAGCTGCTGGGTGAGCTTGGGCTAGTCACACTTCTCTGAAGTCTCTCAGCCCCACTCACCTCACAGAGTGTTTGTTGTGGGGGAGGAAGGGAAAAGGAGAATGTTAGCCGCTTTGAGACTCCTTTGGGTAGTGATAAAGCGGGATATCAAATCCAAACTCTTCCTCTTCTTCTTCCCCACCCATACCCTAAGGGGTCTTACAAACAAAGTCAGAAGAGAATAAAACCTTATGCAATGACAAAGCCACATAAAACACACAAAAGTAGCAGAAAAAAATACATTAAAACTGCAGTGCTGTAGTAGAATAACACAAAGGGCTTTCTTCAAGAGCCAGGCTTTCTCTGCCTGTTGAGAGGTAGGCAGTGAGTCTTCTAGATGAGCCTCCTCTGAGAGGAAATTCTATCACTGTGGCACTGAAACTGTGAGGAAGTGCCTTGCTTCTGAAGATGGGAGAACAGATAGGAAAGACTCAGATGTAGACTGGAGTGTAGGCAAAGCAGTCCCTCGAGGTTCCTGGACCCAAACTGCTTAGCACTGTTATCTTGACTTGGGCCAAGAAACAAGCTGGCAGCCAATGGAGGTGTCAAAATGTCTGAGCAATACGCATCATACAGCGAGTGCCTCCCCTCCCCTCGCTGACTGTTGGCACTGGGAGCTAGGCAACGCAGCAGCACAATGTTGTCATGCCACTAGTTGTGTTTAACTGGATGTCACGAGAAAGTGGTGGTGGAGGGAGGAGAGGTGAGTTCAGCTGTCCCCCAACTCTCATAAAGTCTAGTTCTGCCCTGTTTTTCTCCCTCTGAGGAGAAATGGTTGCCGCTAGAGACCAGAGATACAGATATGCCGTGCCAGAAGTACCTACAGGCCAACTTTCACCCAGGCTCTTGGCACTACTGCACTGTCATGGTGTTTGTCAGCCTCTCTCACTCACTGAGGATGTTTGGGGGAAGAGGAAGTACCTAGACATGGTGTTTACAGGAAAGCTCTGTGAAGCGTAGGCTCAGGCGGTGGGGGGAGAAAGGGAAATTTGGTGGAGGCGAAGGAGTATGCTATCCCCTGAGGACCAGCATTTCTCTCAGGAGAAACATAGATAGTAAGCTCTGTCAATTCAGCCGCAAGGCAGATTTTGTGCTGGAGTGTGGATGTTTGCTATGAACAAGACATGTTCTGAGGTTCATATGCATTGCATGGTTTGTCTATAAAATCTGCATTGCTAAAAGAAAGAAAGAAAGAAAGAAAGAAAAAATAATAATAAATAATAATAATAATAATAATAATAATAATAATAATAATAATAATAATAATAATAATTTATTATTTATACCCCGCCCATCTGGCTGAGTCTCCCCAGCCACTCTGGGCGGTTCCCAATCAAGTGTTAAAAAC